TTTCTTCCCAGCAGGTGGTAAGTTCTTAACTCTCAACAAACCCCCAGTCTTGCCTGTGAAGAGTCCAGATGTCTATTTTTTGGGAGGTGGGGAAGAGGTACTGAGGTTTGAACTCAGGGCTCTGTGCTTGATAGGCAAGCACTCTACCACTTGAGCCATGCCTCCAGGTCTCACTTTTTGCCCAGACCAGTCTTTCTATGATCCTCCTATTTTATGCTTCCCATAACAACACATGCCATTACATCCAGTTATTGGTTGAGATCAGGTCTCTCAAACTTTTTGCCCAGGCTGGCCTCAAACCATCATCCTCTCAACCTCAGCCTCCTAAGTAGCTAAGATGAGGCATGAGCCACTGGTGCTCAGCCCCAGATGTCTATCTAACTGGGTACAAACAAAATAACACAAGGCAATGAGCATGCCTGTGCTGTGGTCCTTCCCATTAGATGAAACCTATCAGATGTAATCAAATTAATGAATTTCCCTCCCATCCACAGTAAACCTTGAGCAAGGATGTTCTGATTTCCAGAACATTTCATTTGTCATTTACAAATGAAATTCCTACTCAAGTTGAACTTTAAGATTCCAGTGATTCCTGACATATTTAAGTCACATAGCCGTTATGATGTCACCGCCAGTGTGGGTCATGGGACTAGAACAGGAAAAGTTCTGTTGCTGGCAGATAGAAAGGTTTTTAAAGCTGGTGAGGAAAAATAAACCCTTGTACACTGTTGGTGGGAATGTAAATTAGTGCAGCCACTATGGAAATCAGTATGGAGGTTCCTCAAAAACTAATAGAACTACATATGATCCAGCTATACCACTCATGGGTATGAACCCAATGAAATGTAAGTAAGTATACAATGGAGATGCCTGCACATCGAAGTTTACTGCATCACTAGTCACTGAAGCCAAGTTATACAAACAGCATACATGCCTACCAATAGATGAAAGTGTAAGGAAAATGTGATATATATATATATATACACACACACATGCACAATGATATATATAAGATAGATAGATATACAGTGGAGTTTTATTCAGCCATGAAGAAAAATTAAATGTATGTTGTTTACAGGAAAATAAATGAAACTAGAGACTATCTTGTTAAAGTGAAATAAGCCTAAGCCGGACTTAGATAATCATTTCATGTTTTCTTTCATATGTGAAATTTAGATTGGAAAAAAAAGACACGAAAGTAGAAGTGGGACTATTTGGGAAGAAAAGGGGGGCAAACAGGATGAGAGAGGGCAATGGGAGATGGATATAATCAAAGTACATTATATACGCAATAAAAGTATTATAATGAGCCTGGCACAGTGGCTGAAAGCTATAATCCTAGCTACTTGGGAGGCTAAGATTAGAAGGATCATGGTTAGAAATTGGCCTGGAGGTGGAAGGAAGGTGGGAAAAGCCTTCTGGTGTTTGCATCTTAGACTGAGCAAGATTTCTAGAAAGGCAGTGGATTTTATAAATAAGTACAAAGTTCTCTAATGTTTGTTTTCTCATTCTTATTCTTCACCTTTATGACCATTGGGATTATATCATCCTATTAAAACCACTCATTTGATTCACTTAGTAAGCCTCTCAGCTACTTTTGCAGGTCAGTTCTCAGAGTGAAGGGGCAGAAAGGGAGGGAGGAAGAAAGAACTATATTTCTTTATTAGCTAGTAAAAGCACATATGTCTCTTAGTACCTCACAGTATCCAAAGTTTACTTATGACTAGTTCTGTTTTTTTATGCATTGTTTTATCTTATCTTCTTCCAAAAGAGATATTAAGTATCATTAAAAAATACACAAAACAATACAAAATTTTAAAGGAAGTGATTATATAAATTCTGGTAAGAGGCACAAAGATGAATGAGAGAGGTAAAATTCAAACTCAATGATTGATCCATAGTTCCTAAGTTTATAGCAAACTAGTGAGTGGTCCATATGTACAACAGGTCTTCTGTCTTCATCTAGGCCTTCATCTAGAGGGCGCAGGTGAGCACATTTCCCCAGCAACATTCACATGTCAACAATGGCCAACCTCTTCCAGCATTCAGGCTGTAAGACTGTTATCCATTGTGGGCCATGAGAAAATGCCAGTGCTGGATGTTATAAGAACAATTCTGCAGTGACCAGGAATGCAGTCCCAATACACAGTTCAAGGCAGCCTAGGCTTCATCTACAAATACAGCATACATCCTTTAAGTTGGCAGTCTTGGCCATTTGTTATATCAACAGAGCCTTTGATGAGTGATGAGCTAGAAGTTATCATTTCTGAACAAGAAGGTGTCATTTGTGGCTCATTGATGTGAAAAAGGAGAATTGTAGGTGACTTTGCCAGTGAGAAGTTAGTTCCACATTATAAAGCTCTTTTTCATCCCTGACAAATAGCCCTTTCCTGCCACAGCCTTACAATAAGGTTTTTATTTGGAGAAGCCTTAGGAAGAAGGGCTTGGTTACCTTAAACCAGCTACCTGGTAGAAAGACAAGGGTACAGGCCCAGACGACCAAAAATTGTATGTTCTTCCTCATATGCGGACTTTAAATCAAGGGCAAACACAACAAGGGGATTGGACTTTGATCACATGATGAGGTGAGAGCACACAAGGGAGGTATGAGGATAGGCAAGAAATCCAAAAAAAACAAGATAGCATTTGATGTCCCCAATGCAAAGGAACTAATGCAGAAACTTTAAAGCGACAGAGGCCAATAGGAGAAGGGGACCAAGAATTAGAGAAAAGGTTAGTTAGAGAAGAATTAATTTAGAATGTAACACATATGTACAGGAAAGCAATTTGAGTAAACTCCCTGTATAGCTATCTTTATCTCAACTAGCAAAAACCCTTGGTCCTTCCTATTATTGCTTATACTCTCTCTTCAACAAAATTAGAGATAAGGGCAAAATAGTTTGTGCCTGGTAGCAAAGGGGTAGGGTGGCAGAGGGAGGGGTGAAAGAAAGGGAGGGGGCAGGGGGAAAGGGGGAGAAATGACCCAAACATTGTATGCACATATGAATAAAAGAAATTAAAAAAAGAAAGACAAGGGTAAATGGGACTCTTGTGGAACTGATCGAGAAGATCCAAGTTGCCTGTTGTTGATTTATGCTTGTGTTATCAACACCTGTGCCAAACTGCATTAGACCTGTTTTAAGATATACCTTTTTACATTTTTCTCATTCCAGGCACTCTTCTAGGTACAATAGATAGATAGATAGATAGATAGATAGATAGATAGATAGATAGATAGATAGATAGATAGATAGATTTAGATAAAGACCTCTTAATCATCTCTATCACTGTACTAGAAAAGTAGTATTAACTTATCAGTGAGGAATTTGAGGGGGAGAGAAAAGTTAATTACTTTCCAAAATCATACTTCTGAGTAACATTCAACTTACTAAGCCAGGATTCAAACTAGGGGAGTCTGACTAGAATCCATGCTTCAGATGACTAAGCTACATTGTTTTTGCAAATCTTCAAATAGATTGTAAATCTACCTCCTAGACTGTGTGTGCAGGTTAATGACTCTAATGGAATAACTTCCTTAGCATCTGAGGGCTATATAGGAATCTGTCTTGGCATCATTTGACTCCCCTGACCCAGCTTCTAGCATTTGGTGTTCACTGACAAATGTTTGATAAATTTGACTGGCTTGTTCTGCACCTGGAAGCCCTTGGTCTCCTTGGTTTCTATAACACCATACACCCCTGTTTTCTTCCTGCCTCTCTGGCTGTTCCTTTCAAATCTCCTTTTCTCCTGCCAATCCTTCACATGAATGTCTCTTACTGTTCTCGTCTCCCTAGACCTGTTTCCAGATGCATAAACCACAATGTCAAATTATTTATTTTCCATGCATAAATGTTTCAGAGGCTTTGTTACCCATGATCTCTCTATGTAAGATATATACTTTCCTAAGACTGAAGTAGTGAGAAGCTGGTACCTCAATCACAACTCACTGAAGCTTGAGGATAAATGAGCATTCTGGCTACTACACTGTAGAGGCATTCACTGCTAAGGATATTCCACACATTAGACAATATTCTTTCTATAAGGACCTGGGAAGATTTTCTTTTTAAATACAATAAAAATAATAACTTTTTCTCCTGAAAATTGACTGCTTTTATGTTATAATTCTTATCAATCATATAACATGGTTTCTTTTTTTATTATCATTTGCTAATAAAAAGTTCAGCCCAAATGTGGAACAACATATACTAAGAGTAGAAAGTGTCTGGAAGTGCATTTTGTATACTATCCTCATTCAGGTTTCAATAGGATTAGCATATTTTTTCTAGCTATAGTTGCCTCATCCTTATATTCCCTTTTTATTCACTGTTTTTATGTTTTTATATTGCATATGCAAGCCATCTTAAATATGTTTTGGAACAAATGAAAAGTATGCACAAATAAAATGTATTAAAAATTTGTCTTTGAAAGAGACATAAACATGATTTCAATAGGGTATAGTTGGGTATTTTTCTTCTTTCATCTACCTAGTTTTGTCTCCAGAGATTTTTTTTAAGTGAATATGAATCAGTCATTCCTTTTGGAAATGAGGGAAGAGAAGAAGGAGGAGAATGAAAAATGATGGATTATAAAGACATAACTTTGCAAGTTGAGAATTGAAATAAGTGTAAAACTGTATTTGTCTGTGAAAATATTATATATTCTTATGGAAATTCAGACAGGAAGCTTGTCTCCATCCACAGCTGTCTCCCCAGCATGTAGGACACAGTGTAGCACACAGTAGATACTGAAACGATATATTTTGAAAGTGTTAATATATTTGTACTTAGAAGAATTGAGTTAATAGCAAAGAAATGATGCTGAATATTGGTTATGTAACCACAAGCACAGACTCTTTGTATTCAGTTTATTTATTTATAAAATGAGGCTATTGGACAGTGTATCCACTAAGATTCTTTCCCTGATCTTGTTAAATCTAGTGGCATGGTTAACGTGTTGATGTAAATACCTATAGTAATTTTGGAATTTTGTTTTCAAAATAGGATATCCAGCTGTATCTTCAAACACCCTCACAGATGTGAGTGCATCAGCACCACACACTACCCCTCAAAGTGAGTATGGGAAGGCTTTCCTCCTCTGTTTCAGAGATAACACACACAAGTTTCACTACAGCTTTTATATTATTAAGGTCTGGACAATTTTTTTTCATTTGATGCTGATATTTTGTATTTGAGCTGCTCTGTGCTGATTATATATGGATGTGATAATCCCTATAATCTTAAAAATAAGGGTTAGGATATGTTATTAAATTGCACCATTCTTTTGTCAAAGGATTTTAAGGTAATAGTACAAGTAACCTTCTCAATACTCTCAGTGATCTAAGTTGTTGACAAGAACAGAAAAAGAAAGCATCAGTAATGAGTTGGCATCTAACATAAACTACAGAGCTTCTATTTAATAACATCTAGTGTTTCTACATAGAAAAACACATTTCCAATTTCTGCTTTTCTCAGAGTCATATAGATTGAAAATTCAGCACATCAAAGCAAAATTAAATTATAGCTTTATTAAAAAGTTGGGGTTCTGAAAATAATTTTGTCTTTCAGCCAGCAATTCAAGGGTGACTACCCAAGGCTTCAAAGACTCCTGGACCTCCAGTGGAACAGAGGCCATAAAATGTTGAGTATAACTTTGGGTTCCATGGGGCTCTCCAGACCTTATTCATTCATAGATAATACACTGAGCAACTACTATGTGCCTTGTCCATAATCATATTCAGAAATATCTATAAAGAACCTACCATGTTAAAAGTACAGCTATCAGTGCTGCAAATCCATCTGTGAACAAAGCAGATCTAAACTCCAAATTCTGTTGGTGGAGAGACAGACACATGGTGGTCAGTGACATGGGGAAGACAGAGCAGTGAAGGGACACAAGGAGAATCAAGGGAAAGGGTGGGCTGCCATTTTAAATAGACTAGTCTTAAAAAGTCTTATTGAAGAAGGTGACATCTGAGCAAAGATACACCAGTGAAGCTGCCAGAGAAGCTATGGGTACATGTGGGGAATGAGCATACTAGCCAGAATGCACACGTCCACAATAAAAATGTAAAGAGAGCTTCATTGTTGCTTTTTGCTTAGTCAACTAGCAGTAGGTATGCCAGTACTGCCCAAACAAGTATTGACAGAGTCTGAAGAGGAAATACACTGCTTCTCAGTGGTGTATGACAAATATCTGTGTAGTGAAGAAGTGGCAAGGAAGGTAGCTAGAGCAAAGGAGAGAAAGGACACTGGATGTCTCTGGTACAAAACTCTGAATGTAACTACTGGGCCCTTTGCCACAAAGAGTAAATGTGTATGTTCTTTTGGGAAGCATTTAAGATGTACATCTAAAACCTTTAAAAGTTTTATACCCTCTGGCTCAGTAATTTCCCACTGGGAACTTATCTTTAGGAAATAAAAGAGAGAAAAAGGAACATACAAATACTGCTCTTTGTGGCATTATTTATTAATTTTATCTTTTTGGTGACCTCAGGCTCAAAGATTTAGATTAATTATAATCTGTAATTCATAATATATTTTCATAATCAATGACCCTCTATAATTTAACATATTTCTTTTAATAAGTATGTTAATAATATAATAGAAATCTCTGAACTCAGTGCCCAAATACAAGAACTGAGAAGGCAGTATTCAGAAGAGAGAGCACTGAGTGAGATTAATGAACAAATGGAATTTTAATCTATGTCAAAGGTGGCTGGCATAGCAGAATACTGGGAAAAGAAGGTATTTTCAGCAAATGGACCCCTGTGATTACTTATAAGAAAAAGGCATTAAGATGAATCCTTACCATGTGTATTACACAAAAATAAACTGAATAGAGTTCAAGATCTTTAAGTCAAAAGAAAAACATTGAAACATGTAATAAAATAAAGGTGCATTTCTTCCTGGATCTGGAGTAGGGAAAGACTTAGTGAAGAGACATAAAAGAGCAACCATTTAATAAAAGAGATTGAGGGCAGGTGTAGTGGCTCAAGTGGCCTAGCAAGTGTGAGGCCCTGAGTTCAAATGCCAGTGCCACCAAAAAAAAAAAAAAAAAAAACAAGATTGAAAAATATGAGTAGAATTAAGAAACTTGTGTTCATGAAAAGATATCCTTTAAAAGTTTAAACTTTAAAAGCCAGACGCTGTAACCCTAGCTACTCAGGAGACAGAGATCAGGAAGATCACTGTTCTAAGACAGCCCAGACAAAATAGTTTGTGAGACCCTATCTCGAAAAAAAAACCCATTACCAAAAAGGGAAGGTGGAGTGGCTCAAGGTGTAGGCCCTGAGTTTAAACCCCAGTTCCAAAAAAAAAATCAAAAAGTAAGTTCTAATCTGTGAGAAGATATTTGCCATATAAATAATTTTAAAAAGACCAAAAAATGTTTCAAAAGTGTGTAAAAATGATTACCAATCAATAATAAAAGAAAAAACACAATAAGAAATGAATAAAATGTGTATCACAAAACATGAAACACAGGTGGCCAGAAACATTTAAGGAGGTGCTCAACCCCCCTAGTAATCAAAAATGTAAATAAATTCTAGACCCAAAGGAACATTTTACACATAATCAATTGGCAAAAATTAAGGAGCCTAAAATTCCCAAGTGTTGTATTATCAATATAATATCTAATGTATTGCTTGTTGGAGTAGAAATTGGTACCATTATTTTCCATGCCTTCGGCATTGTGGTTTAAAGCTAAACACAGGTGTGCCCTATAATCCAACAATTGTATTCCTAGGTACATATCCCTTCCCCAATTAGTAGATGTGTACAAGAGCTATAAACACAATGTCAGGGGAAATGCTATTCATATAACAAAAGCTGTAAACAATCTAATTGCCACAGTTTGAAGAATAAACAAATTGTTGTTTACTCAAGTAAGAAATATTATAAAGAAACAAAAAAAGAGAATGACAGTTATATATAACAGCATGAATGAATCTTTAAGCATTACATTAAATCAAAAAAGTAAATAAGAGGCAATAACATATGTTTTGATTTTTTAATGAAAATTTTTTAAAAACTATAACCAAGCATGATATGACCTAGGCATAGTATGTGATTTTATAATACACAATGACATCCAGGACAGCATTTTTTCTTATTGGAGATATTAGGGATGGGACAGGAATGTGACATTTATAGTGTTATTTATAATAGCCCCGATCCATGTGGATGAATAGGAGTAAGGGAATGTTAAGGAAAAATATGACCAATAATAAGAGAATGTTGCTAGGATGAAATTATAACTCAGTGAAATAATTATGAAGCCAAAACAATAACCATAATGTACTAAGCTAGCCAACATATCTTATATTGACAGAGGAACAAACTAGAAGGTTATTCCAAATCAGATATAAACTAACAATTAAAACATCCTTAATAGATTTGTACTGATGCTGTATGGTGTTGACATAAAATTGAGTTGTTTGTGATAAACTATGCTGAAACTCCTTCCTTTACCTACCTACATGAGTTGTTTGTCATCCTTTATTTTTGAAACTATAGTACAGGCAAGTTCCATGAGCTCTTCAGTCCCTAAAAAAATGCCTGGCATATGGTTAATGTCTAACACTAACTAAAAGATAGACAGACAGATAGATCAATAGATAGATAAATAGATAGATAGATAGGTAGGTAGATAAATGAATTCATACTTACTGGTTATAGGATAGAATTTAAGTAGCAATGGAAATAAAAGTTTATTGAGAAATTTGTTGAAAAAACAGAATTCCACATTACATTTAAATTATCCCATATTTTAATTCTGAGCATAATACTTTTCAATTCATTGTCTTCTTTTGTTCACATTATGTATTTGATTTCTTATTGAAATTATACTAGTTCTTATAGGATGCACAAGAGGGACCGCAACCTTTTACCCCTGCTCACTGCAGAATGCTAGCATCTATAACGATGCCAGGCAGATAGTCAGTGCTCATCAGATATTTGGTGAATCATTGAAAGGATGATTACACATTGGCAAGAACAAAGGCGAGCGCACACAGATACATGAACACGGTGAAAAGAAATTGTCTGTTTTTTAAAGTTTGAATATTTGGTTTCCTTTATTTATATTATAATAATGTATGTGTTAGGGGAAGGAAGGAAGGAAGAAAGGGAAAGAGGGAAGGAGGGAGGGAGGGAGGGAGGAAGGAGGGAGGGAGGGAGGGAGAGAGGATTCTTGCTACTCTCTACAACAGTATGAAGCATTAAGGTCACCCAAGGTACTTTCTGTCCCAGAGACAAGCAAACTGAAAAAATGTTGCTTAAAACACTTGCTTTATAATTTATAAAGTATATTCTTAGCCTTTTTAATAAATTTCAGAATGAAATGAACTATTGTGATCCTTCACATTTTCTGTTCTTTCCCAATTGAAAACTTCATTTATCTTTGGACATCTCTATCATTCTTTACCATAAAAATGGACCTAGAAATGGTAAAATCTAGTAAGGGACTTTTAAAGCCTAACAAAAGATTTTTCCCTGGCAGTGAAGATCCACATTCTTAAGTATGCAAGAATAAGAAGAGCTTGTTAACTACTCATCATTTTTTATCCATAAGCTTATAGAAAAAAATTCCCTTCAGTGAGTTGCTCTATTTATAATCATCCACAAAACACATTAGGCTCCAAGAAGTTAAAATTGATTGCTTACTCCCAAACTGTTTTTGAAACATGCTTGCATTCGTTGAATTGAACTATAACGTGACATCCAATATTGTAGGATGCATTTGGCAGGACTCATGACAAGCATTGGTAATGGGATTTTTTTCCCTCCTAGAATGTTTATCTCAATAGATTTATGAAGTGTTCAGAGGCAGGAAAGGAATGATAACGGATGGATTTCTGGTGAAATAAACTCACTATCAGTAATTCAATGCTCTTTGCTACTTGTGAACTTGTTCTGTGGAATATTTGTCTCCTGCATGCATTTTGTGGAGCTCATACATATTTAAATGTCATCACACATATATATTTAAGTGTTCTGAGTACATTGCATTTATCTACTTTTATAAGAATATGTTTTAGTATATTCTTTTGTTGTCATTTTGTTTATCAACTTGAAGAGATCTAGGCTGCAATTCAAGAATACTGGAATCTATCCTAGTTTAGTTTCCAAGTTTCCTACACTCTGGAACAGAAATGCATATTTTACTTTAACTGCCTATGAAATGGGACTACACAGTTTGACCATCTTAATACCCAGAATGTATAAGGTTAATGACATCTTAGAACATATTTTCATCCTGACAGCTGGGTGATTGGCCATGCAGTAGAAAATTGAATCTTAATTACTTTTTTTCTTTCTGATTTCCCTTGCCATCCATCTGGTCCAGTGAAGCTTAAAGCCACATTGAAACCAGACAGTCTGTCTAAGTTATACAAGCAGAAAAGTGATGTGAGTCTCCATGGGCCCCCGTGCCTCCAACTCACTCTCTTATCAAAATCAGCAAACTCAAGTTCATCATCATCATACACACACACACACACACACACACACACACACACACACACACACACACACACACAAACCCTGGGCTTCAGAGTACGCCTCTCACTGGCTTCAGAAAAACAGAGTTTTTTCTGTTCTTTGACAAGGTATTCCTTACCCTACCATTTTTATGCAGC